AGTTGCCTATGACAACTAACAAGTCAACTTACATACTTATATACCTACTCATCCACTTACTAACTGACTTACCAATTCCTGTTACCCTTAATGGAGCATCCATTGCTGACCAGGATTCCTCACACAGGCTCTATCTTGGGCCTCCATTCCCAGTTCCATCCAATCGCTGTTCATGTCTGACTTCATTTCAGAGGGTAATGTTTGCCTCAACATTCTCTTCTCATTTGGTCTTGAGGAAACCGAATGAGAGCTTGATTTGAGATGCATTTGGGTGTTTTTTAAAATGTAGTTAGTGATCGAATTCCGACTAGGTTTTTCTTTCTCATTTTAAGCTGTGTAAAGGATAGAGCTGCTAAATCATCTGCGAAATGAAGCCGAATCACATATCTCCATTTTAATCTGTGCTGCGTCTGAGCTGTCCGCGGCATCCTGTGCTCCCCTTACGTGTTAACGCTTTCATAGTCCAGTCAAGCACCGGAATAATGAGAAATGGTTAGAGTAAACATCCTTGCTTTACATCAGTCTTTAATTAGAACAAGTATTTGATCTGCCCGTCACGCACGATATTCCAGTTTCATCCATCGTAAGAATTACGTATAGTGTCGACTATCTTCTCAAGTTCACTCTAATGTAGAAGAAGCTTCTCTAGTGTTATCTTGTCCACGCTGTCAAATGCTTTCTCGTAGTCAGTTAAGTTGTGGTAGTATGGTGAATCACACTAAATTGATAGTATTAGAATGATCCTCAGTGTTGCATGAAATCTGGTCCGCAAACGATTGATATTTACAAAATCCAGATTGCTGATCTGGAGTTTGAGCGTCTACTGATTTTTTCATTCGGTTTAACAACAGTCTGTTGAAGACTGTTCCTGGTATTGCAAGTGGAGTGATGCCTCCGTTTTGCTCATACCTGATGAGATCTGTTTCCTTTGGTATCTGGACGAGGTATTCTTCTTTCCAATCTGTTGGCAAATCATCGCAGTTACACTTATGTCTGCTTTCAATGCGGTAGCTGGAATGTTGGCTGGTTTCGCTGCTTTGTCTCTCCCAATTTATCTGATGGCTATGCCGATCTCTTCAATTGTTTGGGGGGTCGACAGTGATTTGGAGGTGTTTGAGTGTTGCTTCGTTGTTGAGTGGGTTCAGTGAGACTGGTCGATTCAAAAATTCTTCATATTGTTGGTCCTACCTGTTTCGCTGTTCTTCAACATCGGTGATTACTTTGGCTTTCTCGCTTTTCACTGGTCATTCTGGTTGACGATACTTTCCAGCAAGCTTCTTTGTAGCTCCAAAAATTCGCAGATCAGAATGAGCTATTATTGGTGGATTTCAGTTTAATAAAAGAAAGGATGCTTTTTGTCGGTAATAAATGCTTGAACTGAATGACGTGCATAGTATTCCCTCTTCCTTTGTTTTGAGGAATGTTTTGATGATCCTAGGTTAATAATATTCTCACCACATCAGTGCATGCTCTCCTTCTCAGGACTTCATCAGTGCAAATGCTCGTGTTTGTTTAGTATTTACTACTTGATGACCGGAGTATGGCAGCATCTCTCGTGAAGCCAGCCTTTGTTGTTCGACCTACGTCCAATGTGTTTCACTGATTTAAAGTACCATCAGGCTGTATCTTTTCATCTGCGCAGCAATGTGGAACAGTGTTCCGGTCTCTCACGTTGTTCGAACATTCCTTCTACCTAAATTGGTGGTTGCTCTGTTTGTGAGAAGGGGAATCGGACTGGTGACTGTAGCAGTTGGGATGCATTTGCTAAGTGAAAACTGCCAAACGAATCGGAATCAGAAATACAAGCGTTATAGAATTACGATATTTATTTATTGGAAGTCGCGTGATATCAAAATGATTTTACGTGTACAGCCAGACAGTGAAATAACGAGAACGATCAATTCAGCCATGGGATTGGGAAGGTTGGCGCTCATGTTATGGTTTTGAGTGTGGATAAACCAAAGTTGTACAATAAAACAGTTATTGTTGTACATGTTCAATAATAAGCATTTGTATGCCAGCAATTGTGTTTTCTTCATAAAATAGTTCCACTGTAGTGCACTGGCGAGCGAATGCGCGGAAGAATGAACGAAGCAGCGAATAAAACGTATGGAACTACGTGAAGTGGAGAAGGCTAATGAGCCAACTCCTTGGATTACAATGCGAACGAATGGGCGAAGGAAGCGATGTGGACAATGGCTAACGAGCCAACTCGCTGAGACAAATCATGACTAAGAATTTATAGTCATACAAAAATAAGACAGACATGTGACCAGCGAGATACGCATGCACACACAAGCAGACCCGGCAGGCACACTAGCGAGCGTATATGCGAATGGGCAAATGAATGAATGAGATTAGAATGTTAGTACATAAACTAAGAAAAAGGCCTGAGTCATCGCGGTATTTAAGAGATTAAAATTAAAGCGAATAGGATGAATATGTGCGTAGGTATAAACAATGCTCAGTCATACCAGCTCATACAAACCACACAATAATAAAAGCGAATGGTACATATGAGTTATTGTTATACAAATAGCCTGGTTAAATAAATTAACCGAAAGACCTGACCTAATGAAATGTAAGCGAATTCAAATATATGTGAGGTCACTCGCCAATACATGACTTCAGAGGAAACTTGGCTTTCATCACGAGACGTCATAACTCTCGTAAATGAGGAATTTACTTATAGCTGCCTGAGCAGAGTTTAAATAATTTGAATTATTTTTTCTGATAAGCGTTTTTTTAATAAACTGATGTTTACTGAATAGGGATTCGCACATGTCCAAAAATCTTATTCTTTCCAGACATGAGACTACAAGGAGAAGTTATTCTATCAACAACAGCATACTCCCATGATAGGACGAAACAGCCGTTCGGTGCTTCTAGGATTAAGTTGGTGGTCTAACATTGATTGAGATTATGGTTTCAAAATTAACTCCACAGTCTCCAGAACCCTATACGGGATTTCATTTTCCTGTTCTCAAAAAACTATATGGATATTAGTCTTTACGGGTACGAAATTTCAAATTTACCCATGTTTTAATCAAAATCTTTGCCGGTTAGATCTATATATCCAATTATTGTCTAACGAAATTCAGTTGAAAACTCACATCTCTACAAACACATATTTTAGTGGTTATAGAGGGATTAATGTGTATTATGACAGAAGAATATAAGTACGTGTGGAAAGGATGACACGGATTTACCTTAGATTCATTCGGCTGTCATAATGACCTTAAAGATAAAACGATTATAATCCTTAATTTAGTAAGTATTTCATTCAGTTAAAAATAATTAAAATTGACATTTACCTCAAAATTAATCACGCTTCTTCTGTGGTGTGCATTGGATTATCATCAAACAGTATTTTGGTTTTAATGGAATTAGTACATGTATTACTTCGTAATTCATTATGTACGGGTAATGAGCTCAATTTTAAGGTTTCATTTTTTAATTATCCTATTGAATCTTGATCATATTAATAAGAATTTGATTGGTTTGCATTCATAATCTGATTGTTTGATAAACAGCATAAAAAGCAAACATTGATGTCATTGTTTGCAAGAGGTAAGAAAACATTGCACTGTAAAGGTAAGTGAATAAATAAAAGTTTCTAAATATTCAATTCGTATACGATCAGTTTTGTTGGAAATTTTCTTTTCAACTATGCATTATGATGGTGATATGTGTATAATTTGTCAGTAGTAATGAAAATAATTGAACAAAACAAAATGTTTTAATTGACAAATCATATAGATTCTTTTGAAAAAAGGATGGTTATCATATGTGTGTTTTAACTAGTGTTTCATGGCATTTATTGATTGTCTAATCAAAGTCAATTTGTGATGTGCAACATGATCTTGAACTATTTGCACAACTTCATGTGAATACTAGTGATTAACATACGGAGTTAGTGATATAGTGAGCAGTAGTAATTAGTGAAGTTCACCACTGATGGATGACAAATGATGGTCATGCAATGTTGATAACTGACTTTGTCTAGAAATGTGAAGTGTCAGAGAGTGACTTGATGGTCTTGAGTTTGGGGTTTTGGCATGAAACCTAAAGATCGCCATGTCCGTTGGAAGTAACGTTCGAGTTTCATACTTCCACATGAAATGATATTCAACACTTTTTAATTTCTGACAACTGTTTATAACGTGACATTTTTCTCAAGTATGCCATCAAAATACTCCACCTAAACTTTTATTATTCTTGTAAAAAAACAATCTAAGTACACTTTAGTTCATTCAGTTAGAAACATTATACCATTCGAGCTGATTGAGTAGTAGTTTGGTAAGCGATATTGTTGAATTTTACGAAACCATATCAAAGTGATGAATGAAATCGTGATAATATCAAAAGTATGTAGTAAAATTCATACCAGCCAATGGGTTGCCTGTGTTAAGAATTTTTTATTTACAGATGCAACATGAACCACCTATCCCGATGAATCAAAACATGATGATTTCTGAAATATTAGCATGCTATAATGTCTGATATAATTCAAATACCTTTTCAGTGAAACAGACACCATCAAAATTGCACCCTGTATCAAATAGTCGAATATTAAATGAAAGTGTCTATGAGAATAAAGATAAAACATGCTATTGACACAACGAGATACATAAATGTTTATCATCATTGTTCTATAACTGGCAGTCTTCATCGATCGATCACACAGAAGGGATCACTGTCATGCTTATCTAATCCTCGTCATGTTCATCAAACTGCATAATTGTAATTGCTATGTGGCAGCCAGTTTAAGTGTCTCAATATTTTATGAGCTATCTGAAAGTTAGTTTGTATGAATTAAAGTCAATGCACTCAGATTAACGATTTGTTACTCTTTAACCGAATTTCATTTAAGGTTTCATTTTACTTACAGATTGATCGATTGTTCAAGTGAATAACAGACTGCTCACCTCAAGATGACAGGTAGAAATATCCTTCTTATATTCCTATTTACAACTATCTCGCTCTACACGTATAATGCTATGGAGGAATTCACAACAGAAACAGACGAAGAAACATCATCGGGTTTCAGTGATAATACTACAATGACTCCTGATTCCAATGATTTAACATTGATAGTCACGGAATATGATGATTCAGATAATTCAACTGACTTCTCTATGGAGGAAAGCTCATCAGAAACAGACGAAATAATATCATTGAGTATCAGAGATGCTTCAGAGAATTCCGATTACTTCGGATTACCACTACCAATCACGAAACTAAATGGTTCAGCCAATTTAACTCTATTCAACTTCACTGATCCTGAAACCAGTTTATTTGATACTTGGATTGAAGTATCAGATACAGTTCGAATGGAAGGGAGATCAATAGCTACACTCGTACTATTTCAACCATATGTAAATCTGTTCTTTTATATATAGTTCAACTGATTCCGATTTTAGGATTATCAATCAGCAATATTTTTCTATCTACTCAATCCACAACCAGATGGATCAGCTTTTGCTGGGATTGACTATGAATTAGATTCTTGGAATTTATCAGATTACAAAGGCATTATAATTGATCTACATAGACAAGGTGAAAATCCGAATTTCAAATTGATATTCTATGGCAACTGTTCGGAAATATTCACATGTCAATCATACGAATCATTTTTCGAGGTAATTTGATCCATATATATTTATACAGAATAACCGTTTATATTTTCTATCAATTATTTACAGACATCTGGTCAACGGCAACAAATAGAACTACCGTTTAGTTCATTTAAACCATATTTCCGTGGAGAACCGAAACCCGAGTTACCGCCTTTAGATATAACCCAACTATCACGTATCGGTATACAAGCATACGGTGGCGTTTTTGCAGATAAGCGGCAATCCGGTCCAGGCTCTATCGAGTTATTCACAATTTCAGCATATAAAGAAGCTTAAATTTCAGTCTAAAGAAGCTGAATTTATGAATGTTTCACACTATATGATTTGCTGTACTGATACGTTGTATGATTTTTTACAAGTTTGATAAGACTAGTTTAGACAATAAATGATATATTCTAAACAACTAGTTTCTGGGCCTTCTTAAAATTCATGTGAGTATTGTTAAGAGTGAGTGATGTTGACCGAGAATATCTCATTTCCAGACACTTTGATTGAAAATTTCAGTATATGAATATCTAGCGGAATGTAGTAGTGCTACATAGAAGATTCAGTGCATTATACGGATAATAAGGAAAGATGCACCGCCCAATCATAGAGATTACCAAACGAGACTGAATGTTCTAATACCCACCAAACAGATCGTATATTCGTCTCACGGATTTTCAGTGTGTAAGGATGGTAGAATTCAGTGAAAATATACAGCTTTCGAAATGTTTTTTGACGAGTTAATGAGCGAATAACATAATATGTGACCTGAGGAATAAATGAGCAGATATTCGATTTTAAGTTTCATCCACATTGAAAAACACTAATTTGTCACATTTATCACAATGTGTGAATAGTTTTAAAAAAACTCTGTTCCATGACTGAAAAACTGTTTCCATTGATTAATTTCATTGTCACAATTTACGTTGAAGAAAATGAATAATATTCCACAGTGGATTTAATTCATTCTGCTTCATTTAATCGCACTCAGTTGTCGACTCTTATTACAAGTAAATATAAGTGAAGATGTAAACAGTGGAAAAAAAATACGGAACATCATGAGTTCAGATTATTCTGTCACAAATGTTGATCTGACTTTATTCCAAACACCTTTATTCTTATCATTATTAGCAAGCAGAATAATAAGTCCTAATTGTTCATCATAAATGAACAGAACTAAGTCAGCTGCAGATTACATATTAAATAAATATTATTCTCCCCTGTTGTTCGAAAACATCTATCTTCTCATCCCACTCAATTCATGTGACCTCATTGATCAGTCCTGTCTCGACATCCGTCCTTTGAGTTTAAATTGTATTATTGATTTTATTGATGTCGCTAAACTGGAAAAGGTATAATTTGTAGAAAATAAAACAACACTGTCATTTCACAGTTATGAGTCGTGCAGTGAGGAAGATGCGGGAGCAGTTTAAAGCTGGAAAGCGTTCACTTTCGAATAAACGTCATGCTTATCGACGACATTATTCCAGTAAACGCATTCACGGCGTACGCATTGGTCACGCCAATCCCAAGTTGATTCGTGACGAAGTGAACTTTCTGTGTAATCGCACTGTCGAATTTATGGAGTCTGGTGAAACGTGTAACTTGAGCGTTATGGAATTAGCCAGACAAAGTATCTATTTCGAACGTGTTCTAAAATATCACAGTGGAAAGCGGAATATACAACTACCGGAATTTCTAAAGGCTGGCTTCCCTTCAATTGTAGAATTCATACGTGCAGGTGCTACAGAAATTAATTCCGACAATGTTTATAGTATATTCATTGCAGCGGATTTTCTCCTCATACCCAGATTGAAAGAACAATGTGCAAATCTACTGAAACAGATTGCGACCACCGACTTTTCTACTGCAATCGATATATGGTCAAATTGTAAATCATTCTACTGGCCTGAACTAGGCAACATGGCGTATCAAGTGATTTTAGACAATTTCGAAAACATATGGCACACATCGGACTTCGAAGAACTAAGTGCGAACGACATTCGTCAGATTCTACACGAAGACACTTTGAATTGTAAAAATGAATTGAATGTGTTCCACGCTATTGTTCAGTGGATTAGTAGGGATTTCGAAACACGGATTCAATATATACTAGAATTGTTGTTGTGCATCCGAATTGGATTGTTGTCAAACGTCGATGTGGATGATATGAAGAAGCACGAGTTGATTCGAGTTATTCCAGAATATTCGGATCTATTGAATGAGTGGCCGAAATGTTTAACAACCACTAATAATCGTATTATCAATGCATATGGACAACGATTTGTTACACCGAGACTGCCACATTTGAACCTCCAACAAAACCACACAATTGATGCGTGTTGTCCTGTTTGAGTGTCATCACGACTGATTGATTCTGTCATCAATATCATCATCATTCGATTGTCGTTTGAGGAGAACTACTGCCAGTGTGACTACTTCTTATATGGAGAAGGTGCGAAGATCACTCACCTCTCTAGTGTACATCGATTGACAAACACAATACAAATTCGTCGAATCACAAAACGAAATCAGGAAATAATTTCGAAACTTTGCATCCAATGAAGATCACAAAGAACAAAAGTGAGAGGGACAACACCGATGAGAACTATCGAGGTGGTTGTCAATCAATCGCTCAAAACTCTGCAACTGTGTGTGATTTGTATTCACATCTGATGAAGCATTACAGGGATTCCTAATCACATAATATAGTAAATGTGTGTGTTCGCAAAGTGGGTTGTTGAATTATTATGATTACTATTTCTAAATATAACTCGATTCGATGCAACAAGTGTGGCTGTTAATCTAACTGTAAAAATCGTATGAAGAGTGGGGTATTCTTGATTGTCTTTTGGTTTATTTTGAGAGTCAAGTAGATCGTTATCGCTAATTCGTCCTTCATTTTTCACTTTGCTGCAATTCTCTGTGTTCAAGATTCGGTTTTTGTTGCTGCGTTATATTCGGTGTCAGTCTGACTATTATAATGACTGCGTTTTGGCTGAAGGAGTGCTCACCATTTTTGTGGGGCGCGATGACCAATACTGTAACGAATGATTTAGTATGCGATGAAGTAAATCTCCTCTTTAATCCCTGTGATTCATACCTAGGCAATCCTTGTGTTGTTTGACGGTGAAGTAGGAAGCCGAATGTGAATTCGGTTCATTAATTTTATTTCAGGCAACCGATTCGGCAGAGAGACATGAGACAACATGCAAAGTGAATTGAGGTAGAGATGGTGAGCAAGCCAACTGCATGCAGTGATGCGTGTTCAAGCATTTATTTTCAGACAATAATAAGCCAAACATGTGGTAAGCAAGGAGTGCACGCATATACTGAATTACAAACGATTAGGATAAAAGCGAATAGTTGACATGGTCAAAAGACGAGTGAATAGTAACTCGAGGATAATGGATCAGTTGTTGTGTCAGTCAGTCAATCAGTCAGTCCGTCATCTCCAATGTCGAACTTCGTAAGTACGTACATAATAAGTTCAGGTTGCCATACCACATTAGTACAGAGATTCAATTGTCGATTCATTACCCATAGTAGCAGAAGTAATAGAAGTATTAGTGATAATGCAGAAGATTAGGATTCAAAGAATTATGACTCAGTGAAATCGTGTTGATGTGGAATACAGAATAAAATGATTTGCGTGATAGCAAATAGTGGAATTACGCACGCCACTGCATGCGATTTTTAGCAATGTCGTTCAAGGTCTCTATCCCTCGGTTCCAATATCCAATATCTTTTTCACGAGCTAGTGTAAACCAATTTGATTTCTTCGCGCTCGATTCTTGTTCTTTCGGTACGGTTCCAGGTGTTCGGGAATGTCCAATGGATGGAGGTCTAGCCACTCGACTGTCTAATTCTAGTCAGTTGGCAGTTGGTTGTGAGTTTGTATGTCTCGGGATTTGAATGAAACGTTTGTTTCAGGGCAGTAGGGTTTCTGGATACTAGCAGCCGTCACATTACCAAACCGGAGATCAGTTAGTTGCAATGTGGAGAGTAATAAGGGTAATAAGGATAAATTAAAATGATAATATGAGTAAAATCTCAGAACTGAGTAATATATAGATGAATTTAGTGTATTTGTTGGTAGTGAAGATTGTGAGAGAGGACCGAAGTGTAAGCAAGGGAGAGGAAACAGAGGTAATAGGCGAGATAGATTAATTGAGTGATCTGAGAAGATGGCAATGCTAACAAGTGCGCACGAATCTGAGTATTTGCTCTTTGATGGGCAATCTTTCGAGGATTGCTTCGAGGGGAGTAGTGGTGATACATCGGTAAGATGCTCACATTGGGATGGTTTGGCGTGTTTAATATGGTGTACGCCATAATCAGGTCACCTCTGATTCTCCTATATCTCAGTGGGAATAATCCCAAAAGCTGGACTCTATTGTCGTACGGTTTATTTTTCAACCCTAACACCCATTTCGTTGCTCGTATCTGCACTTGATCCAAGAGATTAATGTCCCTTTAAAGCAGAGGGGGTGCGATGACGTTTGTAGATTTATTTCGACGGTGGCTGTCCTAATTGCTTCCAATAGAAACACTCCTGTACGTTACTCCTAGATCCAGGTCCCAGCCAAATCAAAAGGGCAAAATTTCTAGGAGAAAACGTCTCTATTAATATAAAATGGAAATACAGAGTCTTACGGTATTTTTGTTTCTTCCAGGACTAAATTACTCCGTAGAGTATCCAGTACAATAGCTAGTAAGTGACACTAAGTCCAGCAGCCACCGCGTCTATCCAAAAATGTGGCGGTAGCCATATTATATCAAATTTAAACAACATATATACAGATCAGAAGCAAACACAAAAACTTCAATATAAGTACAAATATAGAAAGAACAACAATATACAATGATAAAATCTCAAATTGGAATCAAATAAAATACCAAAAATGTCAAGAGAAAAAGTCCATCATGTCATAGCAAAAATATGTAAACATGGAGGGATTTTCCAAAAACACAAACATTCAAAAAGAATTCTACAACGTTGTAAACCTCCAAGTGTGGGCGCGCGTACGTCTTAAAGCGGGTTAAAAATAATTTCGGGGTGATAGCACCAAGCTGTCTTCGCATAAAGCGAAGAGTCGCATTTGCCTTGGCTGTATCCCCTACATAGTTCGGACTCGTGTGGAGGCTTTCTGTGGTTATTAAACCAAGATCGCGCTCTGAAGAGACATTAGGGAGCGGACTTCCATTGAGAGTGTACGTGGTTTGCGTCATATAAAGCTCAGTCGAATCCTCTTCGCTTCTAATGGACCTCCAGATCTTCGCATCGTCTGCGTAGATCAGTGCTGGTGAGCTAACTAAGCCTAGCAGGTCGTAATAAATATCAGGAAGAGGAGTGGGCCTAGGATGGTCCCCTGTGAAACTCCTGAAGTGGATACTCTCCAACCTCGCGTGCACCCTGCTTACTTTGGTGCGAAACTTCCTATTCTCAAGGTGGTTCTGAGCCAAGATAGGTGTAAATGGATTTCTACATTGGCAGTTCCAATGGGTTCCAATAGGTGCACTCCTGTACTCGATTCTCCCAGTCCCAGGTCCAAACAAATCAAAAAA